AAGAGTCCATCTTCTCCCATTTCATCCATCAGGTGTCCTTTAAGCTAACAGTCATGTTGAATGGTGGGAGGGAGATAGAGTACCTGGAGAGAACCCATGCATGCACAGGGAGAACCTGCAGAAATACTCTGGGCCAGGAATGAAACCCAGGACATACATACTGGGCCACCATGCAGCCCCAACAAAAATGGTCCTTTAGGTCAAACAATTTGTTTTAAGCTTATAACATAATTTTGCCAGGTAAAGCTATGTTAAAATTAAATCTCTCTTCCAAAGGGGGACCTGTGGAAATGGCACATCGGCTATAGGAAGGCCATAATAGCAATAACCATTTTACAAATAGAAAACATTTTAGTAAATGACTGAAGAACCACACATTCTCATAAAATGTTAGACTAAGAATTTGCATTAAGTGTTTTTTTTTTTACAGTGTATGTCTAACCTGGTTCCAAAAGCAGGTTATTAAATTATGATTCCTTTTCTTTGAAGAACATTATGTTTTCTTACTTTTGAAATAAATATATTCATATTTATTAAATTCTTACTAGAGACTATTGACTACCGGTACTTTAAAAAGGAAAGTTGTACAGATTAAACAAATTGTCTGTTTCCAGGGCGACTTTCATTTACTGTTGCTGTTTCTTTTTAGTTTCCTTGAAAGCTATGATGTGTGTGTGTGTGTATGTATATATATATATATATATATATATATATATATATATACATTTATTTGATCTCTTGCAGGGTATTTTTATGATCTGCTTTGTCTTTGCCTTTCTGTAGAGACAGGCTGCTTTCAACACCAGCCACTGCAGTTCCTGTGCCCTCTGAACATGCCCTCCTCCGGTAGCTGCAGTCCTCAAGGAGCGCATAGCTTCAGCAGTTTAGCAGACCGAACCCCTGCAGAGACCATCTGAATGGAAGAGAGCAAAAACCGGATGTAGCAACTAAGCGCTATTTGTATTTATTCAATGATTTTAATGTTTTTCGGTGCAGATCAATTCCTGTCTACAGACATCAAGTCTGTAGACAGAAATATAAAGGTGAATTTTATATATCTGCACACTGTAAATCTTTACCACCATGATAAGTAGGAAAACAGCTTCTACCTTTTGCTTTCTTTTTGTCCACGCTTGTATAGAAATAATCTATATCACCCATTTTCAGTGAAGGTAATCGATAAACTAGTCATCATTAGAGGCTGGGTTTTTGTGCCAGTTTTGTGCCACCAGAACCAAAACTCTGCTATTTCCTGCAGCTCTATGATTAACAGATGGCATTTTTGTGTACGTCAGGCATGCATCATCTTTCTCCGATCACATAATCAACCCCCTACTACTCCACTCCCCCAATCCTCCCCCGCTGTATTGCTGACTCATTGTCATAGCCCCTGAATATGCTGCCTGTCTGCATTTCTCTGCCTCCACTGCTGGTGCCTCTTCAGCATCCACAGCTTCAGACCAGATGGGGCTTCACAGCCATCCTCTACTATATGTGTACCATTGTCTTGTTAAAATATAACAGCAGGTTGCTCAGCGGGTGGAATCATTGTAAAATCATGTATTTTTACCATTTACAACTGTCTATTTTTGCCACGTCAACCATTATATTTTTTGCTCTTACCATAATTTATTTAATTAAAAGCCTTTACATTGAGATGGTGTATTCAAAGAGTGGATAAAACATCAAGCCTAAAAAACACATATCCAGATTTCATATTTTGTCTTTAGATCCCTACAGCATGTACTGATCCGATGGAGTTTCGTATGTTTAAAATAATTCAGTCATTTTCAGAGAGTTGGTGATGGTTCTTACATGAATTAGCGCTTCTGTTGTGCCAGATGTATCATGCCTATATTTTTTGGAGATAAGTGCTCTTTAATTTTGATTTGTTCAAAAGTTTCACAAATCTCAAAGAATCTATATATTTCTCTATATAGTTGAGTCTATCTCCTGAGTATACTCCATTATCGGGGTGCTTTTTTGTGTTTTAATAAGCTGAATTATGGATTGGTGAATATTAGAATATGATTTAAAAGAAAGGATCAGGGAGAAAAATTATCCAGAATAAGCCTGGCTGGTCAAAGTTCTTTAACTTCAATCTAGAAAGGATAAGAGATTCTAGATCTCAGAATCTGTTAGTTCAATCTCTAATGTTCTGCTCTCTCTGCTTTTCCTCAGAGTAGCTTTGCCTCGTCTGTTCCTGTTTGGCTTCCATCAACACCCTTGTATATAGATGTAGGAGATCTGCCTGTTTTCCAGTGTGGTCCTGTTTCTCTGACCGTGACTGGCTGGATGTGCTCTCTTCGTCCTCTGGCATTGGAGCTGGCTTGGAGCTCGTCTGCCTGGCTGTGTGTTTCCTGGACGGGGCCGCCTTCAACAGCTGCTTTTTCTATCTCTGCTTCTGTCTCCTTGAACCCCAGTCGGCCTCGGCAGATGGCCGCTCACACTGAGCCTGGTTCTGCTGGAGGTTTCTTCCTGTTAAAAGGGAGTTTTTCCTCTCCACTGTCGCTACAAGCATGCTTAGTGTGAGGGATTGCATTTGAGTCAATGCAATCAACTGGTTTTCCTTAGAAAACTTTGTATCAATTTGACTGTATGATCTGGTTGAACTGTAAAGTGCCTTGAGATGACTTGTGTTGTGAATTTGGCGCTATATAAATAAACAGAATTTAATTGAATAGATCCCAGTTCTGGGGCTTTTTAATGAAATGGCACCCTGGGTGGAGAGCCATACTACCCACAGGAGTCACATGTGCTTGTTTTCTCATACAGATTTATAAATGAACATGTCCTACTCTTGTGTATCTGTGCTTCTCTTCCCTCTAGAAATAATGTCCTTGTTCAGCCGTAGTTTGTTCATTTTGTTGTGCATTTCTCCAGCTTAGTAAGTCCAGTTCAACTAGACCATCTTTGTAGCATGAAGAAAAGAAAAAAAGGTTTCAATGTGTTAACATGTTCAAACATGTGTTATATTTCAGTGTTATCTGTGTTTGTAATGTAATACATACAGCATGATTGAAAATAAACAAAAAATGAAAGTTGTCCAGTTGTGTGTAATAACGCTTTTAGTCACTGATGAAAATTAACATGGTCTTTTTACTAACTGGTTTAGAAAAATTATTCTACATTTAGGTTCACAGTATTTTTGTAATAAAGTTTAACTCAACTGCAGAAAAACCTTCTTTAAAGTAGCAGCTACTTGTCTAACCTTGCCCTTTCCTACAGTCAGAGAACTGTGACAAACCAAGAAGGATTCGGCACCTTGCTGAAGAGCAGCAGTGATGATTGATTTCTGATTAATAAACCTTAATGCACGTTTACTGCGGTAAATGAGACTGGTGTTTTCCTTCACCAACACTAAATGCAGGGTTTGGGTAGAAACAAAGATTGAATTTGTTTAAAACTCATAATCTAACTTATTGATGTTTGGGTTGATGAATCCTTTCAAAAGTCAATGAAACCCTATAAGAGAGCATGGCACTACAACACAAATTATCCTGCTCTTCTCAGACCCCTGACAGGGAACATCTATGGGAAGATGTATGTGGACCATTTCAGCACCAGAACCTGATAACGTCTCTGAGAAGCTGCGTTTATCAACTGGTTGCCACCTTATGTCAAACCTTCAACAAGTGTGGAGCTATGAGGGTTTATTCAAACACTTAATGCCCGATCAGGGGGGGTAAGAGAGTACATGCCCAACTCTGATGAGTACTTATAAGTGCCATAATCAATATCAAGTATATTTAGACTAATTCAATCCTTTCCTCCTCTTGTATTGCACATTTATAGAAAGATTTATTTTTGTATATTTACATTTAAAATATATATTTTAATTTAAACTCATTTGTGTGCACATACTTGGCAAATAAAGCTGATTCTAGACTTTTTGAAATACCAAGGCGCTTTACATAGAAACCTAGCGACCGAACACCTGAACTTGGGTCGTCACTTCTTTTGTCAGCAGGATAACGATTATAAGGTACATGGCAAATTAAACAAATAAATTATACACCGGGTAGAAAATAGCCATTCTATCAACACAATCTTAGCCCTAAATTATGTAAGAAAAAAAAAACTGCAAAAAAACATTACAAAAAAAAGTCTAGACACATTGTGCAAAGAGAGAATATTGTGACGGATTGCTCTCCAAAAGGAAAGCTGGTTTACAGGGAAAATAAAAGGGTAAATAAGGGAACCAGCTATTTGCTTGTAACAGTATAAATATCTCCACTCAGATCCAAACATATAAAATCTTTGGCTTTAAAGTGAAGTTAGACATTTCCACTACCTGATTTATTCTGCATTCACCAGGGGACCTTGCAAGGACCTTGCAGAGCAGCAAACCAAACTAAAGTACATCTTCCTCTTTTCTACAATCCAACTCTTATTAAAAAGCCACCTTATTATAGATGCTTCTGATATTAATTTAAAAGAGTAGCTAAACAAGACTGAGAAATATGGTGCCTTAAAAAACTGAAACAAAATCAGGCAGTGTCACCTTGTTTGCACCGAGTGCTGCAGAGGCTTAACTGTGAGAGAAGAAAACCTGCCTCCTAGTGGTGAGCTGAAGCAAACACAAGGCTGATCTAAACTAGATTCAACTCCCCTGGTTGTTACTACTAAATGGTGAAGACACTGAAAGGTTAATAGTCAGCAGACATTTGATGAGCAGAGGAGAGAACAGAAGATCAGGCAGTGAATGACAAAATCTGAGTTTTCAGTTTTATTTAAGGTTTATTTTTCCAGACCTGCAGAGGACAGTTCATTTCCGTTAAGCGCGCCAAAGTTGTTTTTTTTTTATCTCCTCGCAATATCATGTTAAAACCCACTGAAAGATGACTGTTTTGATTTCTCCTGGATGAATTTGTTCATCTTTGTGAATACTGTTAAATAGGGAACAGCAAGGGAGAGATGGTGGGAGGTGGGAAGGGTGGGGGGGGGGGGGAGG